ATATCCAGAATTATAATAGTAAATTAGAGTTTTGGTAAGGGACATAAAACCTCATGTTCCAGGGTTTAAGCAAATCTCTAACTATTAGAGATTAGTATGACACCTTGGGTGGGAATGTCACATGTAGATCATTCCACATCTGCCTATGGTGGGGTTCTTAGACTTTCTCAGGCATCCAGTGCTGGATGGTTTGAAGACAGGATACTGGACTAGATGGGCCATAGATCTGATCCAATATTGCAGTTCCTATGTTCATAACAGGACAGTTTCTTCTTCGCCTTTATGTGGGTGAGCAACTTATTTTTTCGTGGGGGAGGGGAGGAGTGATTAAGGAGTAAAGCTTTCCCATGCTCTTGGATGACCTGTATAAGAGCTGCATAGAACTGCAAGTCTCTGCTCTCCAGTGCTACTCTTCTGGGGGTGAATGACACCCCCAAAAGAGCAAGAACAGCCCACACCATGCTCATAGCAATGAAATTAGCCAGCTGTGCACTGGAGAGGGCAGGTAGATGTTGCACTCTGTGCAGGTGTGTGACTGGTTTTTGTGCACCTCCTGGCACTCCCTCTAAGCCCGCTCAGACTGCAACACCAACCTATGCCTAATTAGGAGAGCTGGTTGGGAAATGGTTTTTGAGATTTCAACAATTTTTTCTGACTTATATTAGGACAAAGAAGAAAACCTCAGAAATTTTCATGGAACTGAAATTGTGAAATATTTCATTCTAGAAACAATATATGCTCATAAGGAACCCTGGCTGTCTACCTGGCAGGCTGCAGAACAGGTAGGGACCCTGGAAGCCCTGGCAGCTGCTGAAACTGATATGCCCATTACAGTGTTAAAACTGAACAGACTCTTGGTGTCAAGTGAACAAGAGACTGACCAGTGTCGCCACTGGGCAGCAGTAAAACTGACAAGAATCATGTCAGGCCAGTTTCTAGTCGGCAGCTTCCAGGGCTTGCAGAGACTCCAGCTTCATATCAGCCAGGCTAGTGGGCTGCCAGAGCCGATGGGCCTGGAAGCCAGGAAGCCCTGTGTTCTTGGTAGCCTGCATGGGAGGTTGAAAGGGAACTGGGAGCCTGGAGACCCTGACAGTGCAAGCTTTGAGCTTCTGTGGTCCATCAGAAATTTGTCAAAATCAAACCATTTCCAAAAATCAGTTCATTTTTGATTAATTGGCAAATCCTGACTAAAAATGATTAATCAGATTTTTTTCCGATTAGTTCTACTAAATAGCATGATTTGAGCAGCAGTGTGGTGCTTTAAAAGGACCAGGTATTGGGGTCCCTACCAGTACTGGGCAGATGGACCAGTACTACTTGGTTGTATGCTGCCTCATTTACTTAGTGTTTTGCATGACCTGTAAATTACTCAGGGCAGGGGAAGGAGGCATGACTGGAATCTTACTTACTTAAACTGGTTTCACACCAGTGTAATGCCACTGACTTCAGTGGAGGTACTCCTGATTTAAACTGGTGTAAATGAGATAAAAATCAGGTAATGTGTCTTTTCATATGTATGTAATGTACTCTTGTGGTGTTACAGAAATAATAATAGTAATATCAGAAAATGGGCCAAATTCTGCTCTCAGTTAAACTGATATATGAATGAATTTGCCTGTATGAGCTGAAGTTGATAGAAAGCCTAGCTGGGCTCATTAAGCTGGCATTGGGAGCTGATGCACCATTGTTATTTGTTTACTTCTGACTGTGAGTGTACTGGCTTAGAATACACAAAAACAAAGACCAACTTTTAGCTAAATAAAACAAGAGCAGAGCAAATAATTGATCCATTATTTTTTGACACAACTATCCCCTCTTCATCTGTTAATCAATTGTGGGATGGAGCATTCAAGTTAAAATGAGCTTTCAGTGCCATTAAAGTATAAAGGGTAAACAGTGTGTACCATGAAAAGTCCTTATTAGGTACTTACGGTACTTATGTATGTTTTAAAAATACTATAAATATGTATTTATGTAATATACAGTTCACTGTTACAGTCTATTGTGTTAGCTTGTTCACTTTCATGGTATTGGAGGGGAGACTGCTTGTTTGAACTTCCATTAACACAAATAGTGACACTCCAGGCCTTGTGTTCTGGTAGATATCAGCTTTACTTGGGCATTCAGAGGTACTTGGCTTCACTTTATACTTCACAGTGCACCCAAGACTTAGTCACAACACAGCCTTTGGTGTCCTACATTTTTTAAGTTGATTGCCTTTTTTGTAACAAGTATCATTCTATCTTCCTTTGCCTCTAACTTTATAAGTTGGCACAACCACTGCATATAATCGACAGAATAATGCAGTAATGTATTTGACTTCTTTCGATACTCTTAATAAATACAATGGCAACAAAAATAAGCAGAAAATGTAAGCAAAGGCTTATTTCTATTTCAAGACTTATGAGAAAATGTCTAAAATGTAAAGGAAAAATATTCTTTTTGCCTTTATAGAGTTTTTATGTCTCTTTGTAGGAACAGACAGTTGTATTTTGAACTTCTAGTAATGGAGCATGCCAGAAAAGGTTATGAAAGAAGAAAAAAGGAGCAAGTTGCCATATCAGATCTCTTTTCTCTCTTTCCCTGTATCTCTACTGTACATACTGTATATGGACTCCTAAATGTAAAGCAACTAATATCTGTGAATAAGCTTGTGTATGCCCCAGATGAGTTCACCGCTGAGGTATTGTTTACTGCTAGTTTCAACTGTCTGAAGAAGTATTTCATTTACAACACATTTCTAAGTGGGTATTCTTTCAGAACCTTTTAATGGTAGTTTATTTGCAAAATAAACAATTCTTGTATATTTGGGGCTATGTGTATTCACATTCTCAGAGCCTGCTCCAAAGCCCATTAAAGTCAAAGGGAATCTTTGTACTGACTGTCACGGGCTTTGGATCAAGCTCTGGTTTTGTAATTCTAAAATGATTTTTTCCCAGTCCTTCCAATGCTACTTGTTTCAAAAACTACTACAAATGCTTAAAACTTGCAAATACTCAGTTGCAGGGTTAATAATGTGCAACTTGAAGTGATGTGATAAACTGCTCCATTTCTGTGGTGGCACTTTACTTGTAACTCATTCACCAAGGAGTGTTTTTTTTTTTTTTCAAAAGGAGGCACTGGACGCAAATGAAGCATTTTGCTTATGGGGCTGTGCACACATTCCTCTCTGCACCATACTTTGATATCATACCCTTTTAGTATCAATGTTTATTCTGCCACTATTTCCATTTTCAGCATCCTAGCATTCCCTTTATGCAGGAGCTAGGGATCCATATGCATAAGGTAGATCCATGTGAAAGAAAACTGCTAACTGAACGCAAAAAATTGGGAAATGTCAAGGTAAACATTTAAGAACTGTTTTCTCTTTGAAGTCTCCATGTATAGTACTGACTCAAGAAGTAATGCTGAATACTGGAAGTGTTCAGTCAGCATTTTAAACTATTATGAGCTACCTTCTGAACCATTGCCAAGTTAATAGACAATGAAAGATAATGAGCTTGAAATTGGGTGTTAAATTGCATTTTTGGTTCTCTCCTTTTTTACTTGAAGTTTAACTGTTTCCTGCAGAAACAACATCTTCTTTTGATGTATCATTATGTAAATGACTATTTTTAGGTCACAAAATAAGTCAAACGTACATTCAGGACTAAATTATACCTCCTTCTGCATGGGTGTGCTAAAGGACGGGAGGGAGCAGGTGATGCATGCATTGAGAGGCCAGGCATTTTCTGGTTCACAGTGCAAGGAGCATGGGGATAGGGGGATGAGTGCTGCTGGTAGTATTAGTGGCCCAGGTTAGGAGAGGTCTACTTGGCAGGTCCACTACCCGCATGCTGGGGTGGCTACAGAGAAAAAAAGAGCACTTGCTAACCCTGTTGACCAGGTATCACAAGGGGCACCTCTATCCAGGCTCCTCCAGACCTCTAAAGATGTTGGGGAAACTTTTAAAAGTGCTTATGTGATTTAAGAGTCTAAGTCCCATTGACTTTCAACAGGTCTCAGGCTCCTAAGTGACCTAGATGTTTTTTAAAATGCTACTTGTTATGCCTTTATCACGCTCAGGAAATGTGCCTTGCACTGGTCCCCAGGGCACCTGAGGCTTGTAAGAGCCCTAATTTAGCACTCAGTGTTGTAAATGTTCACATTAGCACATGTAAAAATAATAGCTATGTTATCAAAGCATCACCATGTGATAATAGGTTATTAGTGAAATAATGTAAAAATCAGTACATGTTCTACAAACACATAACTAAAGAAAAGTTTAATTACTACCTTGGTGTACAAATGCATCTTAAAAATCTGAAAGCAAGTTTAGCATAGACTAATGGATCAGAATTTTATTGGACATTCCAACAATTTAAACTTTTATTTCTTTAAAGAAATCATTGCAAAAAATAATGGTGGGATAAATATTAGTAAATGATGCTTTCAGTAAACTTTCTTCTAAATTCTTCATATAAGAAATTAAAAGCACATTAAGAGTTAACTTTTACTTCGTTTAAACTTTTAATACAAAAAGTTAAATATTCACAATAATTGCCAAAATAGTTCCAAAAGGGGCAAAAAGAACTTACCTGATGTCATTCACCTCGACTTCTTGAGGACTGCAGATTAAATTATGATAGGAAGGTAGGTTTATCCTCATTAGTATAATTGTAGGATCTTTCTTTTACTTTCCTTTTAAACTAATGAGTTACATTAATCCAGGTTCATTTTTATAAGCCTCTTGGGTCCAAATGTAAAGGACAGTCATTTTAGAAAACAATAAATTTTAAAAAAAGCATGTAGCATGCATTAAGTGTATGTATTTCATAAGACCTAGGTTAATACAACTGGCATCTAGTTTAATTAATCCTTGTTAGTGTAATAACTAATATCCCTCCCTAGCATGTTTCCTTTAAACATTAGTATGTTAATTAAATGTTGTTGTTTTTTAAGTTTTTTTCTTTGTACTTCAATATGGCATTATATCTTGTAAAACTATTCTGAACAACTACCTTATAGAGATGTTTCCTTACAATATCTGGTCTCTTGCAGAAATTTTGAAGCCTTTTAAAAAGCTGTTCAGGTGTAGAATACAGATATTCAGCTGCAGGAAAAACAGATACATTTTTAATGAAACAAAAACCTCAAAGCACACACTCGATATTAGTCACTTTACTAATTAAAAATGCATATTGCTCTGTGCCGCCTCGTGTTTTACATTATTTAAGCATGATTTTATAAGGTTACCTCAGCTCACAAGGATGTTTAATGCTAAATAAGACTGTGTAGTTGTGCTGTTTAGACATCTCCTTTGGGTGATTAAAATACATTATTCTAATGTAACACAATGCATATGTGATACATTTAGTGATGAGATTTTTCAAAGAACTGGTACTATATTAGTGTGTATCCTGTACCACAGTTGCATATTATTAAGTATTAAATGTTTAAATAATTTGGTGTGATTTTCAGGCCTCTATTTTTCTCTCTGTATATCATTAACAAAATCTGCAAGCCATTGCAGCAGCACTGACCTTTTTATAAAAATGTATCATTATGGGTTGTGTATGCTAACAATGAAGAATGCTATTTCAAAACTTGCTTTTGTGTTATCTTGAAAGAACAGATGGTAAATATAAACTTAGTCTAATGTATTAAAACACATAACATTTTCCTTAACACTAACATGTTGGCTTGCCAAATAAACAATTGCTTTTGCTTAAGTTTATTCTCAAACTTTACATGAATCATGTACTACATTTCAACAAAAAGGATGTGCATTAAAGTAACTACCTGGAAATATTTCTGGATACACCAAAGCGTTAGGACATAGTGGATAACAGCCACAATATACAGCTTCTATCCTAAAGATTAAAAATAATAAACAAATACATTAAAAATACATCAGTGAGCCAAAAAACATCTTTTGGTCCATCAGCATTGAAGTTGACTGCATAAAGCAGAAGTAAATCATTTTCCCTGTTCAGCAGTATAATCCTTCTAACTGCCAAAGTTGCTCTTTTTAAAGATAATTTTATTGATCATATGAATTACATAGAACAGAACAGCGAGCATATGTTTTGTTCGCTGAATAAATCAAAGCGCGGCTCTGCATTTTTTTGTTTTTTAAATACTGTTTAACACATTTTATAATCAGCAGACAGACACATGTAACAACATGGTGAAGTATGGACAGCTTTTCTTAATAATGCTGCAGAAAAACAAGGATATTCATGCAATAACAATTACCTGGCATAAAGTGTTTTGTTCTTAAACTATAGGAATTCAAACGTTACACTTAAACATTGTCTAAGAAAAGTGCCAAGATGTTGGGACATCTTCGTTTTATACACATGCTTCAGATCATGTGATTCAGGACACAAAATTTGTATTTTTTAAATAAATACTGTCAAGAACCTTTTGCCAAAACATTTAGTGGTTTATACTGTTGTTTTCTTGAGGAATAATTTACATAACCTTCCATAATATCAAACCTAAATATTTTATAATTGCAAAAGAATGTCAGAAAGTTATCAAATAGCAAATCTAAAGAGAAATTATCATGTTTATATTTGCATTTTGATAACTGAACAGGTTAAAGTGCTGAGTATTTAACTTATTCCTTCTCACAATGACCACTGATCTGACATATAATAAACTTTGAAGATACAACTGTAATTTCTGTTGGCCAGAAATTACACAGTGAAATTCAAAGCACTTTTAAAAATATGTTTATTTTATGAATGTCTTTGAATATATCCAACATGCTGACCAAAGAAGGACTTTATTTTTAACTTCAGCTTATTTCCTTGTCTTGTCAACGATCACTTTTTCAAATTTATAATGACAAAACAAATGCATTTTAATGTATTTCTGCGCATTTTGTTTTTATTTTATTACATTCGCCTAACCTGGCTCAGAAATAATTGTTTCCTTTTGTCCTGCTAAGTTTTGGGGGGAAAGAAAGAGTTTTGTTTTAAATCTGTCCTTAGCCTTAGAAGGACCAAGATACACATTTCCTCTCAAATACTTAGCAAGGTATTAATAGCTAATTTTGTCATAATAAACTTTAAACAATTGTAATTTCATGCTTTTTTTAAACAACATGCATTTCAAATTGCATTTTAAACATTAACAAAAATTTCAAAGTGTTCAAAGTCTACAACTATATTTTTTTATTAAAGGAAAATGTTTCTAGTATGTGATTTACTTGATAATTTTTCAGTTCTTAAATGTTGTGTCAGATATCAAAACAAGTAGAATATTAAAGTTTTCTTTCATCATAAAAGAAAAAGTGAAACCATGGACATTTCAGTAATAGCTGCAGGCCAAGAAGCAATCTGAGTCATCAATTGACTATGCAACATCCCCTTACCAAAGCCTTTGTCTGCATCAGGAATTAGTAAAATTAGAATCCAATATTTCTATAGTTTGTTGGAAAAAAGTTAAGATTTGGAATTATTCTTTCATTTGCAGATGATCTTATTTACATACTAATTTTCTACCTTTACACAGTAAAAACTGAATATATTTCCTCAGAGGTTCCTGGAATCGAACATTAGCTCCTACATACTATACACCTTTCAGATCATAATTCCTAGAGTTTGAAATATATTGGAAATAACACTTGCTATATATTTTACATTGATTTTAGATTCAATATAAAAAGTACATGATCACAGCTTTCACATATTTTTGTAATTTAGCAGAAAAATATATCATGACATTAATACAATTATTAATTATTTCAATTCTTAAGCATTACCAGTTAAATAATAAATAGAATTCCAATTGATCTATTGTTAAAATGGCTAGTAAATGACCTTTTTAGTCCAATTAACAAATCGTCTGCTAAATCTATGAATCTTAATATTCAGATCTATTCACTTCAA